GGATGGCAGAGAGCTTATGCACCAAAACGTCGATGTCCCTAAACAGACCTACGGAGGGGTTGGTCGGAGGGCGTGAAAATCGATCCATACGCCATTAATATGTATGAGATCTTTGCTACGTGAAGCCATGGGCTCCGGAGAAACTTCGTGAAACCGCAAAGTACTCCCAGGAACCACGGTAATTGGTTAGGTTACAGGATTCGTGCTCTGGCTTTGACAACCTATCGAAGCTTGATCCTACCCACATCCCACGTGCTTTATCAAGCAGCCGATAATTCTTTAGCAGAATATTCCATTGCCATTGACCAAACGTAAACTCCGCGTGAGACGATCTCGTTAAAGAAATTGAAAATTCTGCACCTGCCGACCCTGTAGTCGTCCTACGTCGATACCGACAGCCTAAGACCTAGTAAAAAATGTATATATTAAATTCCCATTAAATAGACACACTTCGCTGAGTACTGCCCTTAACAATAAATTCGAAATTTGAAATTAGGCCGTTTGCGAGTACATCGTTTTCCAGTGACTAAATTGGTGGCGCATCCCCTGCCGAACGTCGGGGTAAAAGGTACGCGAGAACATAGTACACAGCCAGCTCTATCGCCCGATCGCATTAATATGTATAGAAGCTTGCAGCACTCGCCAGAACAAAGTCCTCCATTTTCCAGGACGTACGTATCCACATGGTACATCCACCGTATACTATATGTAATCCCGTAAATAAAATAAACGTTACGACCCTGCAAAGCCCTTACAGTACACCAAATGGATCGTTTCTCGCTGGACAATCATGCATACGTACGACCATTCCTTACCATTGAGGTTAGGTCACCTAATCCTTCTATAACCGATCTCGCCCCAGTGGATTGTTAGTAAAGGGATGTTCTACCTGCTGAAAGGATTCGCGAAACGATCCGTGATTCTTCCGTGAGCATCGTGTATGGCATTCTCCTACACGATACGCAATTTCGTATGAATACAGTGAGGAGGCGACACGAGCCATAAGAATTACTGGGCCGCCGTTACGACTTGCGAACACTTTACCAACTGAAATGGGGCTGGTCACAGTCGTTTGCACTGTCGTACGTTTATGTCGTCGGATACGGGGCAGTCAGAGCCCCCTTATACGACGCCGATAGTTTCATCGCGAAACTGCGCTACACCGTTCTCGCATCTGTTGCCTCTTCCATTATCGCGCAAACATACAACCGTACAACCTGACTCGTCTTGCGCCGTAAACGGGACAAAACTCTGTCGCTGTTAAATTCCACCAGACCTGAGGCTAACATTTTTTTACATTTCATCCTGCTAGCGTTATATCGACAGTTACTATTTCTCGGGAGAATCCGCGGACATGGGGTATGACTTGTACGAGCGGGAAAAAAACTAGGGGTTGAAAAATGATTTTTAATGAAAAAAAAAAAAAATTGAAATTTTCGTTTAAATAACCCATTAGCAACGCTGTCACGTATCGTCCTCAGGGTGATTCGCAGGGGTTCAGTCGAGGTAGTATGCGTACGTATGTATGTCCGAGGGAGTAAAGAGTGCCGAACCTACCCTTCGCAGGGGGCGCAAACAGGTCCCGGATGTAGGCACGTATGTCCACAACGTATCTTCTCACAGTAAAGTCACCGAACCACTATGGCCACCCTTCCAAGTGGATTGAAGAATTTCTACCCCTTCCCCGGGGTACAGTTGACCCCCAGTGGTGAGACCCCCAGCAAGGGATGTTCGCGATCGCTTCTTTACTCCTGGGAACCAATGAACGTTGGCTTTCTGTATTCACCGTAAAAACGTTCTGAGCTTTCGGCCAATCAGGTGCTCGGACTGTGCTAGATCAACGTACGTTACGCGTGACGTCATCGTGCTCTTCGGCATCCTCTTCCTCTTCTTCTCGTACCTACCCGAAAAATCGGTCGTGGCTTTGAATTTACCACTTTATACGGCCCGGCAGCTGCGCCCGTCAATGTTTTTCGATCGTTGTACGTTGGAGCTTTTCGAGACATTTTAAAGGGACACCGTGCTTCCCGACTCGCCGTTGTCCTCCAGGGATTTAAACGAGAAAAATGTAAATGTCCTCTGCTCTCTAGGTCATGGAAACCGTTGCTGCCGTTCCTAGCTGTTAAAGGGGTTACAACGAGTATCCGGATTTTTTAACGCCAGCTGCACATCATACACGTACATTCCGTAACTATTATCTGTCCGCAATTTGGATTTTAATCAAAAAGCGTCAACGATCTCCTCCATCCTCCGCAAGCGAATTCAACCCCAGATCCCAATCCGTATTCCTCCGAATGGACTTTTTCTTTCCATGCATTCCGTCATCCCAATTTACAAAACCTATCAGCATTCCCCCAACCCTGGTCAATTCGCATCCTACGTCATTTAATATCCAGCCTTCCACCCCCTCTGCACTGCCATAACGTCCCTTTTTTTTCAGCTCCATCAGAAGAAAGAGGAATATGTACCTGTGACTTCATATATATCCGCATTCAACATAAATGCTGTACATATTTATTCCAAGGCGTCGCGATGCCTCCCCCTCCCACGCATTTATTCCCATATCGCCGTACGTGGGCGTCGGAAATCGAATGGTAATCTCACGCCCTAATACTTCATCCCTATGTGTATACAGCATCCAATTCGGCATTGATTATTCGCTAGACACTAAACACACACAGGATGATTGTTAACACAAGACGTAATTGGAAAATACTTGGCAAGTCCCTCGATAGATTCTCATCCCTTATATATGATCTTCTACCACGTTGCACTTTACTACCCGACT